ATTTTTCACCATTTGTGAAGAAACATTAAAACAAGTTAAATGGTAGTGTGCTGAGTTTTTTTTCCTTCTTTTAAAAATGGTTGTTTAACTAAGATTTAACAATGGGAACCCCTGTGAGCATGCTCAGTATCAATGTGGAGAACCAAGAGGGCCTCTAACTGTAACAATGTTCATGGTTGTGATGTTTTTTTTTTTTTTTTTAAATAAAATTCCAAATGTTTATAAACAGTCATCCTTCTCAGCCTCTGTTCCACAGTTGCATGCCCCTGTTGTCCCCAGGGAGTAGGGTGCCATCCTGATAAACAGCCCATTTCAAGTATCAGTCTGAAATGGTGGTGGCATGAAAACAAAGTACAGCACATTCTTGGTTGCAGAAACAACTGGCCCAGCACACCCTCAGAAAAGATGTACAGTGGCACTGGGGTAAGGTGGAGGTGTGGGAGTGTGGGTAAATTCCTTAATGGGAGCTGGGGCTTGAGCCTAGAAGAGGTCATCCTCTGGCCACAGGTCTGCACCGCGATTACAGCAAGCACTCGCCTGAGCCCCATTCCTGGCCCTTCTGAACATGCATCTCACCTTCATCTCTGCTGTCTGGTTCTTTACTAGATCATCCACTAGCATGAACTTATTCCTCACCTCTAGGGAGGCAAAGGGGGCCCTGTCTTTGCCTCCCTTCCACCATCAAAGTTCTGTCCTTCCTCCTGGGAGGTGCTCTCTTGCCTCCTCTCCCTTTTAAGGACCCATATTATGATCACTGCCTTTACTGCAAGGATAACTCCAAGCTGTCTGCATTGCGGAGATGGTGGTCAGGCATTGTCTGTTCTTGCTGCCTTCTTCCAAGTCTGTTGGTGGGAGGCCCCCACAGCTAGTGTTGGGTTCCTCCAATGCTCCCACACACACGCCTAGCTGACCTGTCCTGTGGTTTTATCCACTGTTGACATTGTACACTTCTTCAAATGCCACCCTCTTAGGAGTCTTGACAGGTTGGAAGGTAGGATTGATCCTGTCCTGTCCTATCTCAACAGATAAGTGTGTGCTCCAAACCCTGGAATTAGAAACCATGACTCATTCCCCACCCTCCTTCCAAACTGGCTCACCTARAATCCATCCACAGCCCTCGGCCCTGCCAGGCCGCCACACTAACTCCCTGGACTTCCTGCTTCTCCCCTGGGCCCCTAACCCTTTTCCAGAGGCTAGAATGACTGGACACCAAACATTTTTGCAATTCTCAAGATTTTGTGGCTCCCACCATGTTGCTTCTGACCCATGTGCTACAGACACTTCCGCCTCGGCACACACATCTCCCAGGCCCAAGCCTCAGGTGCCAAGTGCCTCAAAATATTTAATTCCTGGGCTGGGTTGTGGCTCAGTGGTAGAGCGCTTGCCTAGCATGCGTGAGGCACTGGGGTTTTGTCAGCACCACATAGAAGAATTTAAAAATTATTGTGCTCACCTACGACTAAAAACAAATTTTAAAAAATATTTAAAAGTGAGGTGCTCTGCAGGTCCCTGTCATCCCGGATTGGGCTCTCAAGCTCAGTTTAGGGGGTTCAGGTTAACCCAACCAGCGCACTAAGTTCCCAGAGCTGCCCAGCCAGCAATGGCTTTGTGTTTTGGAATTGTGTTTCAATTCCAYTAACTCCCTCAGACTTCCAACTGCAACCAAGGCCAAGCCAGCTGCTCTCTGGTATTTAGTGGATGCAAGAAACCTGCATACACAGTGCTTCTGGGGTCTGCAGATAACCGTGGGGCATCCATAACCCARTCCTCTTATCCCTCTGTTGCTTCCCTTGGTTCTGTAAGAAAATGAGAGGCTTTCCTGGAGGTGATGCTATGGACCCAGGAAGGCACCACATAACAAGGTCTTCCACACAAGGGTAGTCTACACCACAGCTGCCCTCTGTGAATATTAGAGGCTGGAATCTGAAATAGCGCTCTGGTCACAGGCCTCAGCTCATGAGACCAGAGAAGAGGAAGAGGTTACCTCCATTGCCTGTCCTTCAGCATAATGCACATGTACCCCATCAGCTAGGCCACATTGAGCTGAGTTATGGTAATATTTTTTACAAACTATGATGCAACTACTACTATGGTTCCATTTTACAGATGGTGCCTCAGAGGCACAGGAAGCGTAACCAGTCCACTGGATTCAGTCCCTTTCCTATGGTCAAACCCCAGAATGCAGTAAGATAGGTATAGGCAGGAATCAAATTCCTGCATAGCTGCTGACAACAAATCTGTCTTGTCCTCTCTTGGCCTGTTTCCCTAAATTGTGAAATGAAGACAACTAAAAGTATCATTTACCCCAGTGACTTGGGAGACTGAGACAGGAGGATCACAAGTTCAAAATACAAAGCCAACTTGGTAAGACCTTATCTCAAAAAAAAAAAAAAAAAGGCTGGTGATATTGCTCAGTGGTTAATACCACTCCTGGGTTCAATCCCTGATACAAGAAAAATAAAAATAAAACGCCAACATCCAATATACTTCCATCACCTCCACTGCTACTCCTGGTTCCTTCTGGGGCTCTGGCTCCTGCCATTTTCCCTGCCCACCATAGCAGTCCAGGGATCCTGTTAAGACCTAAGTCAACCTCTCCTGCTCTAAATCCCTTCTATGTCCCTCAAGAGTCATGGTCCACAAGGCCCTCCCTACTTGATTTGTCCCAACTTGTCCACCTTCATCCCTCTCCCCAGCTCCCTCCACTCCAGCCTCCGGGGCCTCCTGAGTCCTATCCCACTTCATATTTCCACTGGCTATTCCCTTGGCCTGACGCACTCTCCCTCCAGGTTATCTGCCAGGCTTCTCTCATCTCTTTCCCTAATCTCTGATTTTAAATTGCACATACTCCCACCCTCCCTTGCCTGGCTCCAACCTCTCTCCCATCTCAGCCCAGGGGCTGCCTGCCTTCCAAACTGCAAACTCTGAGAGTTTGGCCTTGTTTGGTCCCCCACTTTGCTGTTGGTTTTGAGTGTCAAAAGAGACTTGGCACCATAGGTGCCATGTGCCCTCCATTACTAGTACTTGTTATCCACCCTACTCAGACCAGGGTGGGGAGTGAAGCCCTGAGGCATCCAGACAATTCAGGAGATTTTGAAACCACTTTCCCAAAGGTCCTGAGCTCAGGCCTGAGATGAAACCTTCGGGAACTTAGTGCCAAAGGGACTCAAAGTAGGTGCTCAATAAATGACCCTGATCTTTGAGTGAGGATATTCCCATAACAGTGGTGTTCAAACCGCAGGTYCATCAGCTGTTCCCAGCCTGAGCTCCAGTTGGTGGAATGGCAAGTGTTCCTCCAGAAGTGACTCCCCATCCATTCAGGGCAAGGGCAAAGAGCAGGTCTGACACCCATTGAGAGCTTTATGAAAGCTCTGAGCCTCCTGGTTGTTTGGTCCCACCCGGCAGCATGACTGCGACCCAGACCATCCAGGCGACTGCGCCCGGCCCAGCCGGCAGCAGCAGGGGGCAGGATTTCCCGCAGATCCCGGCCAGGGCCCGACTCTGCAGTTTGAAAAGAACCAAAGAACCGAGCGGGGTTCAGCCTCCCCGGCCTGGCCGACCTCCGCAGCCTCCAGGCCTCACGCCCCTGTTCTGTGCGGAAGCCTCTGCCGCAGCCTCCTGGCCACCTGCCTGCCCTTCTGAGCCTCAGCTCCCCGTCCGCAAAGCGGGTCCCCTCAACTCAGTTTGGTTCAACTGCGCCTCCAGCGGGGGCGCGGGGCGGGCGCCCAGGGGCGGCAGGCAGCCGGGCCACGCTCCCCTCGCTGCGCCCGCCCCGCGGGAGRAAGCTCGCCGCTGGTGGCGGGTCGCCTCGGCTATCTGGACGGCGGAGGTCCACCCGGGAAGGAGGTGACTTTGCAGTCCCCGGCCCCTATCGCTTCCGGACTTGCTCTCGGAAGCAGGCTGTGCCGCCTCCAGCCCTGGGAAGGCCACTGTCCGGGAGGGAGGACCACTAAAAAGGGTCCCCCGAGATCACAGAGGGCAGGCAGGGCCGTGGGGACCGGCCCGGGTCTGGATGGAGCGTCTGGGCTGGTCGCGGCCGCGTGGGGGCCACCTTTTGCTCCGACTGCGGAGAGACGCCAGGTCCGGACTCGGGTCGGGAGATTCCAGCTCCTCCCCCACCCCGCCCAGCCGCCCAGGAAAGCCGCGGCCCCTTTAAGAGCGAGCGGCCCCGCCCGCCCCCTCCGGGCGGGATCCGAATTCCAGGGAGGCGGGGCGGAGACGGCGCGGAGGCCGAGGAGGCTCGGGGATCCGCCGAGGCTCGGGCGGCGCCTCCCTGCGGCGGCCCGGCCCGGCTCCGGCCCCCGCCGGGGCGATGCTCCCCGCGGCCGCGGGATGAGCCAGGTGAGCGTGGGGACCCCCAGCACCCTCTGCCCAGCGCGCACTGCTGCGGGACCGGCCGCGGAGTGCGCGGCCTCTGTTCCCCCAGGGCTGTGTGACCTTGGGCGGCCCTGAGCCCTCTCTGGGCCAGGCCCCGAGCACCTCGGAAGCTCCCGGAGGCCTTTCAGAATCCTGGCCCTGCTTGTACCCGCCTGGGGCGCACCCGGGAGGCTTCTGGAGGAGGCGGGACCCGGGCCGGCAGACCTGGCTGTGGGATCGCACCCCGAAACCAGCAACGCCGCGCCGGGAGCGCCCGGACTCTTCCACCCACTGCCCAGCGACCTTCAGCGAGCTCGTACCCTTTCTGCGTCTCAGTTTCCTCATCTGTAAAATGGAGATAATATCCTCGGCGCTGCCCTAGCCGCCGCCGTTGCAGTTACGGCTCAGGCTGGCTGCTGGGGGTGTAACAGTGGCGCGGTCCTTAGGGGAGAGGCGCTGAGGGAGGAGCTGGGACCTGCCGCGGGAGATGGAGTGGGCACTGGCGCTGAGCAATGCAGACAACCCCTCCCCGCGGCCCGGAGCTGTCTGCTGGGGTCCCAGGTCATTGGCTTCTTGTCTCTAGGTCCCAGCTCTTTGTGATGATGGACACCAACCTGCCTGGGAGGAGGCCTCATCCCCCATCCCCCACCCCAAGAAAGCCAAACGTCAGACATTAAGAAACACTGAGTGTGAGATTATCCCGTTGAAYCCTTGTAGGCAGATGGTTTTTTATTTTGTGTAGTGGGGATTGGACCCAGGGCCTCCTACATGCTAGRGCCCCGGCCCTTTTCATTTTACTTTGAGACAGGGTCTTGCTCAGCTGCCTAGGCTGGCCTGGAACTTGCAATCCTGAGCTGGGTGATGTTACTGTACCCATTTCACAGAGGAGGACACTGAGGCGTAGAGGTTTCTCCCAACCTGAACTTAAACCAGGCATTTAGCCTGAGTGATGGGCAGATACAGCGCTCCGCACTGAGTGTTTGCTGGATCTTCACAGCAATCCTGATCTGTGTCCCTGCCCACAGTGACTCGGCTGGCCCGGGCATGGCGGACCCAGTGGCGAGCATCGCTGGCTCGGCGGCAAAGAGTGTGCGGCCTTTCCGCTCCAGTGAGGCTTATGTGGAGGCCATGAAAGAGGACCTGGCAGAGTGGCTGAACGCCCTGTATGGCCTGGGTCTGCCTGGCGGTGGTGATGGCTTCCTGACAGGCCTGGCCACAGGCACAACCCTGTGCCAGCATGCCAATGCTGTCACCGAGGCTGCCCGTGCTTTGGCTGTCACCCGCCCAACCCGAGGTGTGGCCTTCCAGGCACACAGCGTGGTTCCTGGCTCCTTCATGGCCCGAGACAACGTGGCCACCTTCATCGGCTGGTGCCGCGCGGAGCTGGGCGTGCCGGAGGTGCTCATGTTCGAGACGGAGGACTTGGTGCTGCGCAAGAACGAGAAGAGCGTGGTACTGTGCCTGCTGGAGGTGGCGCGGCGCGGGGCCCGCCTCGGCCTGCTGGCTCCCCGCCTCGTGCAGTTCGAGCAGGAGATTGAACGGGAGCTGCACGCTGCACCCCCCAGTGGCACCCATGCTCCCACTGCTGGGGACMCGGAAACCACCACTGCACCAGGGACTTCCACTCGTGGACCCCGCATGACGCCCAGTGACATGCGCAACCTCGATGAGCTGGTGAGTCCTCCCAGGGGCATACCCAGCAGCCCGTCTCTGCCTGCGCCCCACACCGGAACCAGGTGGCGGAGTCCATGCTCACTACCTGTCCCTGCCTATCCTGGTGTCTGTAGGTTGGCCTACCCAATGCAAAGTGTGCATATGTTGAATGCCAAGTGTATACCTGGGCCCAAGGAAATGGCTAGGCCCATAGTGGGAGGGGTGCTGGGTCCGAGGCCACACAGTGCAGCTGGGCCTGGGACAGGATTCTGTACCTTGGCATCTTCCCAACATTTCCCCTAGCCCCTCTGGTGCTGGGGATGGAATCCCGTGCTTTTTGCATGCTTTTTGCCGCTAAGCTAGGTCCCCAGCCATGATTTTCCCTCCTTTTAGGTGCTAAAGATGCACTAACTGTGTGCTGTGCCTTCCTTCAACTGGGGGCCTCTTGACTTGAGCACCCCCTCAGTGCCCTTCCCACACTCAGGAGCTAGAGGTGCATCCTCAACTTCAGTGCTCAAGGTTGAGCGGCTGCTGCACTTGGCTTCAATGAGGTGTACAAAGCTCTCTGCAAGGTGCCTGGCGCATAGTAGGCACTCAGTGAGCGCCTGGCCCTCCTCTGGGAAGCCCAGCTGCTGCTGCTGGGAACAGGAAGTCCTGTTGGAGCTGCAGGAGTCCTGCTTGGAGCATAGGAGGTGCTGGGCAATGTCCCCAGCCACCCCCCTCCTTTCCCAGGGCCTAGGTGTCCCTGCCACCCCCGCAGCTGGGCCAAGAGTTTCCTTTTTATCTGGAGGTTAGGACTGTGCTGTGCCTGCCCAGGAGGCGGGCAGCCGGATGGCCGTGGGCAGTGGCATGTGCCCCACCCCCAGCCTGGGCCTGGGTCACCCAAGGCCCCACCTGCTCATTTCCTCCGGCGCCGCTGTGGGCAGGGAGGCGGGCAGGGCCTCCCACACAGCCAGCCTGGCAGCTCCAGGCTTGGAGTGACATGTGTGCAGCRTGTGTTTTGCCAGGTCAGTGGCCTGTGTGTGCATATTGGTGTGTGCATGTGTCCCACACATCTGTGGCACTCCCCCACACCAGTGCTCAGCCAGGCACAGAGTCCCCTGCACTTGTATCCCATGACCTGCCTCCTCCAGGGCCTGGCCTTCCTGTGACCTCAGGTCCCTCTCTGTGATGTGGGTGAAGGAGCATTGAGGACGGGTTCCAGGGCTCCCCCAGGCTTAAGGGCTTCGAGGCTGTTCCTCATTGGGGTTCTACACCCCCACCTGATGACAGTTCCATCATCTCGTCCTGGTCCGCTTTCTGGGCCCTGGGGGCCAATGAGGGGAGCCGGTCATGTTTGGAAGCTGCACCCATGTCTGGGGCAACAAGTCTCCAACCCCCATTCCCCAGAAGCACTTACTTCCTCCTGACCCTGGAGCTGCTGACAGTAAGCCCTGAGAGGAGGGACTTGACCCCTGACCTCCAGCCTGTCCTCTCTGGCCCTAGGTGAGGGAGATTCTGGGCCACTGCACTTGCCCAGACCAGTTCCCCATGATGAAGGTCTCTGAAGGGAAATACCGAGTGGGAGACTCCAGTGTGCTCATCTTCGTGCGGGTAAGGGTCCCCAGCTGCCAGCTGCAACCATCCTGGTGGGCTGTCAGCCCCAGGAGCTGCAGCCATGACCTGCCCACTCTGGGCCCCCACAGGTGCTGAGAAGCCACGTGATGGTACGTGTGGGTGGTGGCTGGGACACACTGGAGCATTACTTGGACAAGCATGACCCTTGCCGTTGTTCCTCCACTGGTCAGTGCCTGGGGCTGGGTGGACAAGCAGGGGCTCCCTTCCCTGGCTGTATCCCTCATATGTCATCTGTTCTGTCCCCCCACAGCCCACAAACCTGCCCAGCCCAGGGCCTGGACCTTCTCCCCCCAGAGGGTGTCACCCACCCCAAGTCCCCGGCCTGGTAGCCCAGTTCCCGGGGGTGAGCGCCGGGGCTCTCGGACTGAGGTTACTTTACGAAGCACAAAGGAGGGGGCCCAGACCCTGCCCAGGTGAGGTGCAGGAGGACATGGGAAGGAGCGGCCCGGGGTGGGGGTGGGGCTTCCGCCCTGGCCGGATGACGGAGTTGCCTTCCTTCGCTCCAGAGTGACTCACACCCTGGGAAAAGTTCCCGTGGGTGGGGGTGGGCCTGGCTTCCCGTCTCCATGGCAACCCGACCAAACCAACAACACAGCTGGGGTGGGCCCTGGAGGTTGGGCCGCGGCCAGTCCAACCAGGCTTCCTCTGGCCGGGCCTGGGGGAGACCGGAGGCCTGGGGAGGGGCAGTGGGGGCCATGCAGACCTCATTTCTTCCGCTGCTGTGTTGGGGCTCTGAGTGGCCGCAGGAAGCTGCTGTGGAGCCTCTCACTTCTCCCTGGAAGTCCCCAGGACAGACAGATGCCTTACCACTCCCACCAGCACTCCCATGGCTGTGCCACCCACCTGCCTTGCTGTCCCTCTCCTTGCCCCTTCTGCGTGCGCGCCAGTGATGCCCCATCTCTCTCTTGTTCCCTTGCCCCAGGGCCCGGGATCAGCTGCCCCCCCTTCCCCGCTCCCGCCGCTACTCGGGGGACAGTGACTCCTCAGCCTCCTCAGCCCAGAGCGGCCCCCTTGGTGCCCGCAGTGACGAAGCAGGCACTGGCACCCTCCGGAGGGAGCGGTCCAGCAGGCGGCTGACCACAGGCACCCCGGCCTCTCCGAGACGGCCGCCAGCCCCTCGCAGCCAATCCCGAGACCGGCTGGATCGGGGACGGCCCCGGGCTGCCCCAGGCGGCAGAGGAGCCCAGCCGTCCGCCCCCAGCTCTGCCCGCCGGGCTCGCAGCCAGAACCGCGAGGAGCAGGCTGTCCTGCTAGTGCGCAGGGACCGAGATGGGCAGCACTCCTGTGTGTCGCGGGGAAGGGGCGGCGGGGGCTCAGGCAGGAGCACCCCCCAGACTCCCCGTGCCCGCAGCCCTGCAGCGCCCCAGCCTCTCCGGGTCTCCAGCCCRGGGCCAGAGTTGGGCGCCACACCCGCCAGTGTCTTCCGCACACCTCTGCAGCTTGACCCGCAGCAGGAGCAGCAGCTGTTCCTGCGCCTGGAAGAGGAATTCCTGGCCAATGCCCGTGCCCTTGAAGCTGCTGCCAGCGGGACTCCCACCGGACTAGCCCCTGACCCGCCTCGGCCCCCAGATCCTCCCGCTCCCGACTCGGCCTACTGTTCCTCCAGTTCCTCCTCTTCATCCCTCTGCGTCCTGGGTGGCAAGTGTGGCCAACCAGGGGACTCAGGCCGGACAGCCAATGGGCTGCCCGGGCCCCGTAGTCAAGCCCTATCCAGCTCGTCAGACGAAGGCAGCCCCTGCATTGGCATAGGGGGGCCTCTAGAGGCACCTGGGACCCCCCTGGCTGGCCCAGAACCCTCGCGGGTCTGGGCACGGGGTCGGATGGACACACAGCCAGACCGTAAACCCTCTCGCATTCCCACACCTCGCKGCCCCCGACGCCCTTCTGGACCCACGGAGTTCGGGGCCTGGCCAGCCCAGCCCTCGGTCACCCCAAGGGCCGAGCCAGATTCCTGAATGTGATGAACCAGCCTATCTGCTCCCAGACCCCATTCCTTCTCCTTTTCCTTGGTGGCCTTAACCTACCCTCTGCATCAGGGAGCCCCCTCGCCTCCTGAGTACCAGACCTCATGGGACCAGACCCCTCGGGACCACAAGGCACAATGGGACCTCTGTTGTACATTCCGGTTGGGGGATGAGCGTAGCTATTTAATTACTAATATTATTGAATGCCTTAGGGGAGGCTGGGCTAGCCCGGTGTCCCGAGGACCTATGGTCCAGCAGAGCCTCTGACAGTAAAGTTTTGCTCCGCAAACTGTCTGTTTCTTGGAGACTCAGCCTTGGAGCATCGCACCCCTTTGACAGTCCTCAAGTTGGGATTCTGGAGTTAATTGCCAGGGGGCCAAGCTTGGCATCTCTAGTCCAAAATCAAGTCTGTCTTGCCCATCCCAGAACAAAAATCTCAGGTGTACTTTCTTTTTTATTACCTCCAGAGAGGCGGGACTTAGGGATTGTGTCCAATGAAGTGCTAGGAACGAGCTCCCAATCAGATACATAGCCAAGTCCTTTCCATCGACTGTGACCCAATGARGCCCCAGAAAGGATTGATCTTGTCCAATGGGGTGTTGGGCCCCAGTGTAGTTCAAAGAGAGGCCGGTCGCCCAGGAGACTAGGTGGGAGTTTTCCTTATCCAATCAGGGAGGAGATTTCTCTGTCCAATCCGGTCACATGAGGATACAGCGCGCTGGATGCAGCGCCCCCTGCAGGCGCAGGGCTGGGTGTGCAGGACGTGCGCGTACCAGAGCACAGCGCAAAAGCTCGCGGAAGAGACGCAGCACGTGCCAGTTGTACTTGGCGGAGCATTCGAGGTAGCCACAGCGCCAGCCCCTGCGCACCAAGGCGGCCAGTGCACGCCGAGGTCCGAAGCGCAGCCGCTGCCGGTCCCGCTTGTTGCCTACCACGAGGATGGGTGCCTCGGGCGCTCCCGCCGGCCTGGGGCCCGGATTGGGGATAAGAGACACGGTGCTGGGGACCCCACAGCCAGAGAAGCCCCTTATCCCCGCCCCAAGAATATACACACACAGGTGCATTCTTTCCTATGGCCAGAGACCTCCAAGAAATAACAGGCCTGTGTGTGCCAAAGACTTATGTTAGAGACCTTCCTACAGCAATGACCTGATCCTGCAGCCCCTAGTAGGGGAGCATCTTCCCACTCCCCTCGGGCAAAGGCCTGGCCCAGTCAGGCCCCTCTCCCCACCACCACCTCCTGCCGCGCCCCCACCTGGTCTCCGCGATGCGCTGCCGCAGGGCCTTCACGTAATCGAAACTGTCCGGGCTGCAGATGTCGTAGACGAGCACGAAGGCGTCCGTATCCTGCAAGCTCCAGTCTTTAGAGTCAGGACATTCCTGGGAGCGGGAGGCCGGGGTTTGCGGAAGCCGCTTTCCCACCCTGCTGCCCCTTAACTCTGCAGGCGACACTAAACCCACAGTTCATTTTCAGGCCTTGGTCGCTCATCCCCATCTCTAAGCGCCCTCCTCCAAGCTTCCTGGGCCTTACCCTCCTTATGGTGATGTCCAGTGTAAATTTCTCCAACCATGTCTGGAGCCTGTCGGCCACCAGCCCTCCTTCAACCTCGCCTTCCTTTCCTGTTCCCTCGCTCCCATATTCCTTTTCTTCCTTCCAGTCTCCCCCAGCTCAACTGCAGTCGGGCCGCTCCCCTCCTTAGCCGCCCTCGCAGGCTACTATTGCCTGTCAAGCCCAGGGCCCTGGAAACCCGCCTCCCTCCAGAGCCCCAGACCACCCGTCAGCCGCAGCCATGCCCACTACTGTTCACTCGGAACCTACTGTTCTTTCCACCTCGAATGCACTTTGCACTTTACCCGAAACCCCACTCAGTCTTCCAGGTTCAGCTCGGTGTCATCCGCTTCAGGAAGCCCTGTTTAATCCTGGCTTTTTCCTCTGAGCCTCTCGGACATTCACTCCAAGACTGGAGAGCTGGAGTTAGCACAAATTACTAAATGTCTTTGCTCCAGGTCACAGGAATGAGGGAGCAAAGAATTACCTCCTTTAGGAAGTATATCCCTGTGCCTGATTCCAATCTCTCCCACTGCTCAAGGTTCTGCTCAAGGCTCCAGACACAGCCACAGGACCGTGCAGCGACACGCGCTGGTCCAGTCCCACCAATGGAGGTAGGCAAAGATAGAAACACCCACGGCAACAAGAGAAAGCCTTGGCTAAGTCGCGGGGTTTAGGTCCTGAGCTCCTCCAGATGGGCGGAGAGGGCTCAAGTACAATATCGGGACACACCATTTTTTCTTCGATTCCTTAACATAGTCAGGAGCCCTGAGACCATCCACGTGGACACGCACGTGTGCAGCAAGCCCACACACACTCCTTACACTGTCACACGCCCCTGCCCACCACTCACGCCGCTACCTCGACACCTCCGGGGCTCGGGCCGGGGCCAGCGACGTCGCCGTCGCGGATGCTCAGGTCGTAGACAGCGCCGTCGAGCAGCACCGCGGGCCGATAGAGGCGGGGCCCGTCCGTAGGTCGGTGGCGTTCGGGATAGTCGCCGAACAGGAACTGGCGGATGATGGCCGTCTTGCCCACTCCGGGAGCGCCCAGAACGGCCACCCGCAGGCTGCCCCCCATGGCCGGCCCGCGCTGCCGCGCCCCGCGCCGGAAAGCTTCATGGGCGGGCGCCGCGCCGTGCGCGCCCAGTCGTGCGCCCCACGCGCCCTGTCCGGTGCGCCCCGGCCCCGCCGCGCTCCTCGTCGCCTCGCTGAGCAGCCGAGCACAGGAGAGGCCGGGCCCGGAGACAGGGCTGGCGGCGGGAGGGCAGACAGCCGAGCGGGCAGACAGTGGCGGACGCACTAGCAGCTCGGGCGAGTGCCAAAGCTCGGGAGAGAACAGACCCGGCGCGCCGCGCGCAGACACCGCCTCCGCCCGCAGCGCCAACCGCGGCGCCGCCGGGCAGCGCGGGGCCCCGAGGTCCGACCCCCCTGCGGCACGGGTTCGGCAGCAGCGCAGCCTCTCGGCGCTTCGGCCCCTCTGTCCTCTCCAACCAGCGCCGGGAGTCACCGCCCCGGCCGCGACTGGAGGCGCGAGCAAAGCGAGTCAGCGGGGCCGCCCCGAGACAGAGATGAGGTAACTGCCCGCCCCTCCCACCCCCTACCCTCCCAGGACGCCCCTCCCGGGAAGGGTCGTGGGAAGGTGACTGGAGGACAGGGAGCCCGCTCCAAAATAGAAGCCCCTTCCCGCCCGCCCCCTTCTCGTCCTCTGCTCCCAACACTGATCAAGCAGGCTCCTGACAAACCCTGGCCCACTGGAGTCGGGCCGCCCAGGGCGCGGATCAGGTCCCAGCTGTGACCTTGGAAGAATCGCTATACTGTGCTTGGTCTCTGCTCTGCATCCATCAAAGGCAGAAACCTTCAAGGGCTTTTGCTGCTTCCGAGAATCTACCAAGTGTCAGACCCTTTTCCAAACTGTTCCTTACTTGATCCTTAAACCTTCAGCCTCAACCCTGGTATCTCCATTTGAGGGAAGAGGAAACAGGCTGGAGTGAGAAATCTCCAGGGTTAGAAGAAAAGTGGGGCCCCTAGCTGTCTGGTGGCCTTGCTGTCTTCTCTGAGGGACCTGCCACCTTCCTTTCACCCACAGGAGTAAAATGGACAATATGTAAATATTGTAAAACAGCAGCCTGGCAGGGGAGGAGGGGACAGAGGGGACTGAACCCAGCACACACTGAGTCACAGCAACTCAGCCTCAAATCCCTGCCTCAATAAGACTGGAGGTAAATAAATAAAGGTCCAGAAATTGGCCAACACCACCTGTCACTGCTAAGGCCATTTCCTTCAGGAACTTCCACCTGTAGCTTCCCTCAAAGGACAGTAACATCCTAACCAGACTTCCAGAGCCCAAATCCCCCTCCCTGGAACTGGACAGGAAGTTCCTACTGCCAATTTGCAAAGTTGCACCCCTCTCCACTACACTAAGGGATTCTGACATCTCTGCTCTCTGCCAGGTACTGAGGTGAAATGCACAGATGTCTGGTTTCTACACTGACCAAGGATTTCATTTACTTAACAAATATTAAAAATCTTACTGTTTGCCAAGATGCTGAGGGAGAAGGGGGAGCAAGTACTGGGAATTGAACCCAGAGGGGTTTTACCACTGAGCCCCATCCCCAGCCCTTTTTATTTTTTATTTGAGACAGGGTCTCACTGAGTTGCTTAGGGCCTCGCCAAATTGCTGAGGCTGGACTTGAACTTGGAATCCTCCTGCCTCAGCCTCCCAAGTTGCTGGGATTATAGGCATGTGCCACTGCACCTGGCTGCTGACATGGAGTTTTGAAGGAGGGTCAGAGAGAGGAGGAGGAGAAGGAGGAGAAGAGCATGGACAATACACCCTCCCCAGCCCAGGGAAAGGTGGGGGAGCACGGAGGCGATCCTGGGCAACCTCACACCATTTCTCTCACAGTGGCAGTGTTTTTATCTCCCATGCTGGAAGAGGGCCTCAGCCTGATTTCACTTCTCTCCTCAACCTTGAGGGAGCTCAGCCCACCTCAGGCAAGGATTCTGTCTTCAAGTTCAGTGAATAGGGACGTTTGGCTTCATATTTTTTCATAGTGTTTCCCTTCACTCGATATCCCTTTTTACATTTTTTCTTGTGAATTTAAAAAATTTTACAGCTTCTGAATTTTGTGAGCTGTTTCCCTTCCTTTGGGGAACAAGGAAGGGAGTCAGTAAGTTTACCCCCCAACCTTTCTGGTGGACACTGGGCGGGTCTTGATTAAGAATTTTTTTTAGGGGGGGCAGAGGGAAGGCTTAGGGGGGAAATTGAACTGAGGGGCCCTTGACCACTGAGCCATCTCCCCAGCCCTATTTTGTATTTTATTAGAGACAGGGTCTCACTGAGTTGCTTAGGGCCTYGCTCAATTGCAAGGCTGGCTTTGAACTCTATCCTCCTGCCTCAGCCTCCCTGAACGGCTGGGATCACAGATGAGTGCCCGGCTCCTTTCTTCCTTTTCTATGGAGTGCCCTCTTCCTGGGCAGTGATTCTCTGAGAACTCCAGGTAGGGCTCTGTGCGTGGCACCTCTGAGTCCCCTCATGGCTTCTTGGTCCGTGCTTTTGGAATGATGGACACTGTGGACTGGGAAGGTCCCAGGGCTCCCACAAAGCTCTGCACAATCCTCAGGGGTGTCACCTTCCCTAGGRACTCTCCTGTCAGCATCAGTAGCAGAATTCCCACTTCCTCGGGACTGTGATGTGCAAGCC